CTTTACCCTTTGAATGATGTTGATTAACTAATTTTCTTTGTTCTTCTGCTAATTTTGTATTTTTATTATAATAATTTTTTTCCACTTTGGCCTTAGACAGGTGTTCTTTAAATCTTTTGAGTAAATCTTTAGCTTTTTTCTCTTGATGAGCATTATAATGTAAACCATCTCTAAAATGTTGACAAGTATCACACAAATCAGTCCTTGGACTCATAATTTGAGTTTCTGGTGTCAATTGATGTCATAATTTTCTGAATGCATCATATTTTAAGGATTTCAAATTATTATCTTCTTCTAGACCAGCCAGAAAATCCCTGTACACAGATTTATAAGTCATTTCAGCTGGTAAGAACGTGATTGATTGAGTTATTCTATTGATATTTCTTCCTGGACTTGGTAATCCATGGACTTCTGCATAATTTTCTAGAAAATTCTTTATTACTTCAGCAACATTTTTATCAATCACCATTTTAGTTTTCCATTGAGGCATTCTTTTAATATTACCATGAATTCTTGGTAGAAGACCATTATTTATTAGATGATTTCTAATATTTTCAAAATAAGTCCTACCAATTCCTAACATATTGAGATAAGTTTCTTAACAAAGGAGTGTATTGTGATCCCATTGATAGAAAGTTCTTTTATTAGATCTGGTTTTCTTTTTAAGGCGTCTACTAGTACTTATTGATCCACCATCCATTGCCTTAAGTTGGGCCATTAAGAATATGTCTTGTTCTACTTTAGAAAGAGCTTGAAAAGATTCCCTTAATTCTGCAAATTGTTCCTTGGGAATTCTTGAAGAGCATTTACAACCACAGCCTTTTTCTAAAAAATCAATGGCCTTTTGATATTCATTAGAACCATTATATTTATTATTAATTTTTATATACACTTATCTCTATATATATTATTTTATAATTTTATGTTCACTTTGTAGTTTTTTATAATTGTTTTAAATTTGAAGGAGAGTATATGAATGGAATTAAACTTAGATGAATCAATGTAATAGTTTTAAGTAAATGATTTAAAAGATATGATTGCTCAATAACTTGTGAAGAGAAATTGGAAAATTTGGTCAACCTTCCCATGAAAAATAATTATAGCCTAGATTTAAATTGGCTTATCATCATTAATAATCAAAATAAGAAAAGACAACTTAAAAAGCAAACAATAAATGAAATAATAACAAGTTAATAAAAAATTGATTACCTTTACAATGAATTTTGTTGATCATAAAATGTTATTATTGCTTTAACAAATCATGTGTAGTGATTTATATTTTGTTTACTTTTTATAAATGAGATAATCAATTAAATATCTTCTGAATAGATTATAACAATAAGGTTAATTATAATTTATTTATATTTTTATTATTTATATTATTATGTATTTTTAATATAAAAAGGATTATCCTCTAAGAAATAAAGGTAATATGTATTTTTACAATAATTAAAGTACCTGTTCAAAAATACTTATAATTTATCTTGTTGAAAAGTAATTCTTACAAATGTATAAAAATTATATTTTTCAAAATAATCAATTTTTTGTTTAGAAATGATTGCATCTAAAATGGCTGAATGAATAGAAAACGTTACATGAACTTGATCATTCTCAACATCAACATCTGTGATTACACCTAACGTCCCATTGCAGATACCGTGTTCCATTTACAAGTTACTCAAGAACATAACTCTCACACTGACTTGAAGCCTGACAAATTTTGGTAAATTTGTCCTTTCCTTAAACAAATTATTACCTTGATCATATACAACTTGACTGTCAATGACATCCACAAAATTGAATTTAAACATAGCATTTTGATAAATCAATATATACATGGATTTTTTTTTATTTATGGTATTAACAAAAAGTTATTTTAGAAAATATGATTGTTGTTGTTGTTGTTGTTGGATATAATTTATAATGAAATGGGACTAATAAACGTATTAGTATATATGAATTTATTATGTTATTTTTCGTTTGTAAATAGTGTTACCGGAATTAGATTTGGAGGCTCTTTTGACCGAATTTAACTAATTCCGAATTCTTAATTTTTATTATTATTTTATTTTATTTATCTCTATTTATTTTATTAATTTAGTATTATTTTATTATTATCCCGTATTACATTACATTATTTTCGTAATACGTTTTATTTTTATTTATTAATTATTTCCAATATTACAATTTTGAACGGAAATTTCGATTTTGAAATATTAGAATTATTAATTAATTGAATTGTATATAAGGAGCTTGAATTCAATGTACTTGTAAAGTAACTTTCTGATAAGTTAATTAGTTTCGACTAAGAAAACTAAATAAATAAAATAAATATTTTATTTTATTTAAAACTATTATCTTCTTTACCCAAAATTATTCGCTAATAACAAAATTAATTCGTTAATAACCTATTCATTCTGATCCACACAAAACAAAAATAATTGTTATCACCAATTAAAAATACGCTCTCCCAAATTTAATCGGTGACAATAGTAAAAATAAAAGAAAAAGTTAAGGTAGCAGACTTATTTATCTATCTTTATCCTTTCGCGATTAGTCAAATTTTTTTACTTTCGATTCATGAATTTGATTGTTAATGAGAACAAAGATTTTTTTTTGAATTCATTAGAAGATAAGAAGTTTTCTCAAATCTCTTAGGTTGATTTATTTTATTAAGATTTTTTTTCTTACTATATATTATTTAGCATGGTGGAAACTAAAACAGTTTTCGTTTTATTTATTTATTTCCATTATTTAAAAAAAACAAAAAACAGGAGGTTAATAATTTAGAGTTTCTCAAATCTCTTAAATTAATTGGTTTTATTAATCTATATACTAATATGATTTTTTATGTCACGTCGTTAAAAAAAGATGATACAGCCATTGATAGAAATAATGGAAACGAAAATGATGAAAATGATGGTAGTCATGATGTAAGGATATTGATGATGAAAGCATTAGGATAGAAAATAGCAAAGAAAGCAGTTGTAGTGATAATGAAGGCAATATACTGAAATTTAGACACCTTTTTTAAATATGTATACTATGTATACGATGTTCTGGAAAAAAAAAAAAAAAAGCATTGCATAAAACGCATGAAATTTTAGAATTTCATACAAGTTTCCATCTTTAACCCAAAAGATCAGAACTTGATATATCTTGGCTATCAAAGTATAATAAATTCCTTCATAGAGGAGATCCAGAAACTCTTGAAGGAAATTGGATTGTTCTAATAAAAGTTTTGATTTACATATCATTATTCCAAGAAATATATCTTTGTTTTTTTGACTTGGCACACCAATATCACATACAATAAAAGCTGGCTGAAATCATTGAGTATAATCAAAAACTTATATTTTTGTGTTTTCTTTTTTTGGGTGTGTGATGACAATCGGGAATATCGGTTTTTTGAACTTTTTGTGGATTCTTCCACCTGCTCAGATTGTCATTAATCTTCGTGTCATTAACAATCCTCATTGTTTGCAAAATTTCGAGCTACAAGAGAAGAATAAAATCAACTTGTGAAATTTAAAAAGTAAAAACAAGTATATGAGACTTTTTACCTTGGCGTAAATGATGGTGACTAGAGCATCCAACGTATTACTAAATTGTGTGATATCTGCATATATCTCACGTGGTTCTTCCCTCATATATCGGCATGCATACCCCTTTGGACAATCGAGGTTTGTCTTAATTAAGACGGCACCTTCGAAAATCCTGAATGTTAGAATTTCGATCAAGTCTTATTCAGAAAGTACAATTTATACAATGCAAACCTGAATGAACAAATCCTGGAACATTAATCTTGCGTATCTTCTCTTCAGAAAAGTTAACCTTACGTGCAAGAGATATAAAGATGTCTTTCAAAGTTTTTGGCAAACACAAACCACGTTCCTTTATGAGTTTAGTGCCTTGCTCACCCTCCCATTTAGACCCAGCCTCAGATGCCGCCCATTCGATTGGCCTCGAGCCAAATGTTCGTACGTAACCATCGCCTTTCTTTCCAATCTTCTTTCGTTGCATTTGATGTATATTATTCAAAGTTCTACCACGGTTTTTCCTTTCTGTGCTTGCCAATCCTGCTTTTTCTCCTCTGTCATTTTTTCAGGAAAAGTAAAATTAATTATAAAGTAATGGATGGCGATCATGTATAGTTACTCTTTTACTCACCCAACGAAAAATACAAAAGGCGTATCTGAGAAAGCAATGTCGACGGTTCTCCAGACATTAATCCGAAACCAACTTTCTGGTAAATCTTGTTGTGTAAGCGGGTTTGGCTGCATTTCTAACAAACGGACCCTACATAATATTCATTTATTAACATTACATATGAGCTACGAGAACTTTTCTTGTCACTTACCAATCAGTAACTGTTGTCCTCACATGTTCATAAGCGAAATCGACGAGAGGATTATAATCACGACAAAGTCTGGGGTGAGAAGCATATAGTGCTTCACGTATGTCTTTCGTGGAGGTCTATATACAGAGAATTAACTTCTGTTATAAAATTCTAGAGGTTTGGAATGGCAACACCCTGACAATTTACCTTTGCAAAGGTATCAATATATTCCAATAGTTCACCTTCTATTTGAGGTGCTTCTTGCACGGTCATTGTTTCGCAGATCTCTGTAAGTTCATCAGTGGTAAATCCCGATTGCAGAAATTTGTCCTCAGGGTCAACAATAAAGGAATGGACGAGGCTGGAATATGAATGAAATTTAGGTCGGTCAGCAATTATGCATAATAAAAGCACCATTATATGTAACATGGCTCTCTCTCACTTGTGAAATTTAGATTTCTTTCCCAAATCATACAAGACGTCTTCCACGTATTTCCCAGTCTTGAGCTTCCATTTTTTCTCGTTTTTCATGGTCTCAAATCTATATATTAGGTGACAGTTAAGTGATATCTACATAGTCAATACTTGCGTAAGAGCAAAAAAATGTTCTTACCGTTGCGTAAACAATTCCATGTCTTGCATAGTGAATTCATCATCATCAGTTGGATTACATAAGGATGTGTTTGATGTTGTGACAATCTTTTCATCAGCGTCATCTGGCTCATAATCATTCTCCTTGTTATCATCAAAATCGTCTACTGTCCAGAATTTCTCTTGTATTTTTTCTTTCTTTGGGAAACTCGGTTGCCACTGCAATAGTTGCAGCACGTATTCCAACAGTTAAGATCTCACGCTAATGGCAGCCATTTAAAGAAAAGGTTATATCAGAGTCTTCCATGGTAATAAAGTCAAAAACATTACATACTTTGTTCATTCGATTTTCAACAGCTAGCCTTCCTAATTTTGTAGTGTTCTTGCCACAATTCTATATTCACTGGATCGTTATGACAATCCTTCAAAAAAAATATAACAGTTATTTGTGAGTATGCGCAAATAATTGTTGTATTAGATGATCGCGGTTGGTAGCTTGCCTAACCATGCATGTTACAACCAGATCTGAAAATCCCAAATTGTAACTTCAAGCAAAGAAACATTTTGCCCTATGCGACAAAGTCGCTCAATTAGCAATTGCAGGGTGCGATTATAGGCGAATATCAATGGAACCACCAAGCATATTGGGCCTGAAGGCCCTATAAAGCAAAGAACATTCTGCTTTCTGCCCACTTCAAGCAAAGAAACATTTTGCCCTCTGCGACAAAGTCACTCAATTAGCAATTGCAGGGCGTGCATGATATTGGTGTCCCTAAAATAATGGCTGAAGAAAAATCTTTCAATTTAGAATAAAAATGCTGACCTTCAAGAGCTTTTGTAATTCAATTGCCTTATAATAACCATAGCTTGTTTTTGAAAGCCTTGTTAGAAGAACTTTAAGTTCCAATCCAAGTGACCGATGTGCTTTCATTTTTGTGCTACCAGGTGTATGATTGATATAGTATATATCCCAATCACTCAAACTTCCCCATGAATTTGGGTTGCGATTCCAGTAGTCTATGAAAAGAGAGTTAAGTTTTTCTTCCTGCTTAAAATTAATTATGAAAGTCTGGATAGAAGCTTACCTGGGTGATGGAGAGCTTCAAAAAGGTTCGAATCGAAAAGTGATGCCATTATTCAAGAACTGGAGAGTAAAATAATGTATGTATTAAAAAAAATAAATTGTTGTTTTTTAATATCAAATTGTTTTGATGGTGCAATTTTAAAAATTTTTTATTGGTGAGTTCAGTCAAGTATTTTACTAAATTTGGGGGGTTAAAGCCGTGTTCGATCACGTGACTAATCGATCGGCGGAGTCGCGTCGGAGGATCGGCCGTGATACGAATAAGTCACGTGAATAAAAATAAATAAAATGCATACCGCGCATAGTTTATTTTTCCCAAGCCACCAAACAAAAAAGCATTAAAGAAATAATTAGAAAAAAATTACAGAATCATTATGAAACAATATATATAATGGTAAAATTTATTAATTTTCTTTATTTAAAACAGGTTCTAAATGGTCTTTCAATTCATTGATAAATGCACCAGTTTGTTTTATATTACCCTTTCTTCAACTCTCCAATATACATCACGCATTCTTTCCGTTAATTCACTCACAGCTAACCGTCGATTTTCCATTGCCTTCTCAGCTTCGGTCATCCTAGGTACCTCTAAGTCTACTAATTTGTGATATATATATATATCGAATCCAACCTTATCAAACATCTGCTGAAACTTTTCCCACACATCAGGTGTTAAAAGTTTTGTAAAACCATACATATCTTCATGAAATATATGACGGCAAGGCAACAAGTACCAATGAAAAAAATAAGCAATTATAACTTAAAGTTGTAAGACCTGGTGCTCCTTTGCCTTTTTCTATTCATTCTTCAACAGCACAACATTCCTTAATAATTATTTGTTAAATAGGAAATGGAAATTTATGAATTTCCTGAAGAATCTCATCATCAATACCAACAGCTGAAATTTTTTTAACGTGAAATTCATAAGCGACGCGTTCTGAATCGGAACGTTTTTTATTATCAAGTTCAACTATCTTATGACATGCACCTAATAGATTTCATTATAAATATTATAAATATAATAATATAAAAATTATAAATGTAATAATATAAAAATTATAATAATAAAATATATACTTACCAATTAAACTATATTGTGAGGAGGTTGTTTTTTTTAATTCACTATGATAGGACTCTAAAGCATTTGTTAAAGCAACCTGTAAAAGAAGAGGAGAATGCTGTCGCGTCTAAAGTACCCATTGATGTGTATTCTTTACATAATTTCTTAAAATATATTGTTTGATAGTTGGATTTGGGCATTCATTAATTGCTTGTTAAACAAGATCTACACAACCGATTTTAGTCCTTTTATGCATAGCATGAATCATTTTCTGTTGTGTCTTTTTATTATAAATCTTACTCATCCAAGTTCGCATGATATGGACTGTATAAAAAAAAACATCACACTCTTGTTTGCCATTTTTAAGACCCAGAAAAGCCATTTTGATACTGTTTGATTCCACATTACTTTGGTCAGAAAGAAAATATCTTGGAATCTAATGATGTGCAAATCGTCTAATTATCTTTAAGTTTTGCGTAATGGTAACACTGTCTTCATTACTTACAAAAAAGTGGGCTCCAACATTCCAACATCTATAATAATTGCGGATATACAAGATGAACAAGCGGCAATCATATTTATTGGTCTTGTGTGTGAAATCTATAAGCGTTAACCAACCATGTTGCTCAAGGTTTTTAAGTTGATTGGGATGTATAAAAATGAAACCATAGGTAGACAGGTGGGAAATTTCATAAAACTCAACCAAATATCCTTGTTTATTCAAAAAAGAAATAGCATTCCGAATATCTGATTCTCGTTTGGGATTGCCAATAAGATGTACATCAAGAGACCCACGAATTTTATATTTTATATTCGCAACCTCCTTCCGTCTCAACTCTTTCACACTTTTTCCTAAATCCAGGTTTTCAGTTGCATACTCCTTTATTGCACTTAAGATTTCTGGTGGTCGATAATTCTTTGAGATTTCTTATATAACTAAATCTCAAACAACATTTGAACGCTTGAGTTTTTCACTTTCCTCTAGAGAATGTGAATGATCAGACGAGTCTTTAAATTGTTCGATTCGTACTTTCTTTTTAGAAGTATAACGTTGAACCTTAATTTTTATGTAACACATATTGGCTGGCCGAATTTTCGTTATGCGGCATTTCTTGTATGAAACACCTTCCTTCTGAGTACTTGATTTGTTATGCTTATAAAAGCGACAAACAAACACTTTTCATGAATCACCATTAACATTATTTTTGTAGCTATATCCAGTTTATATATTTGATACAAGAGGCTATCACTCCTTATCAAACTCTTCTATTGAAACTTCAAGTGGATGATCAATATTGAAAAGACGCATACGTTTTTGGTCGGAAGTTAAGGCTTCAGATATAGGTAAGTTTATTATGTTAGAAGAAAATAGGTTCATTGATTTGTATTAATACTAATAATATAAGTGTTGTTTTATAAGGAAAAAAAAACCCCCGAAAGTCAAAAAAAAACTTTGAAATTGATAAAAAAAAAGTCTGATATTATTTTGTAAACACTAATCTAGAATGTTATTTTATAGGAAAAAACTCCAAAGAAAAAAAAAGCTTTGAAGAAGAAAACTTTAGAAAAAAAAACCTCCGAAGAAAACGGAACTTCAAAAAAAAAAAAAACTGAAGAAATACTCCAAGAATCTTTACTATTATTATATTTACTAACTACTAACAAAGCTTCAAAAAAAGAAAATGTTATATTTATTAATAGACTACAAAAACTTCAAATAAAATAATTTCCCCCTCCCATATTATACTTGCTAACAAATATTTATTGACAAACAAGAAATTAGAACTTTGCGTAATATAGAAGTCCTTCGCTACATTTAAAAGATCGTTATAATAGCTTGGGAAAAATAAACTATACGCGGTATGCATTTTATTTATTTTTATTCACGTGACTTATCTGTATCATGGCCAATCCTCTGACGTGACTCCGCCAATCGATTAATCACGTGATCAAACACAGCTTTAACTCTCCCTAAATTTGGAAATACTAAATGTTATAATGATCGATGGTATACACAGTGAGTCACGATTTAACGGATATTTTTTTTCAAAAAATTTATCCGTTAAATCAAGAGATCCGCTAAATCAAAACTTATGATCAAATCATATGATACAAATTAAATGCGTTGTCACCGTGGAATTCTTCAACTCAGGGTGATCACGTTATCAAGTCTCTACTCGAAATTTCTAACTGCGGTTTACT